ATGTTCATCAGGTGAACCTAAGTCTAGTTAGAACTTGGATCCAATGTGAACTTAATTTGTACAAACTCATGTACAAAAGTAGTTTCACATGAAGAAGAAGACGGCAAAATAACTCAATAACTCCTTGGAAAAATCACAGTAACATTCTAAAATTATACAGTCGACTTCACTTGGTGGAATAAGGCTTGAGTGTTGTTGCTCAAAGTAAACGTTGACTTTATTGGACTTTTAAGAGGAAGTACAGACTAAATCTTGGAGGTGATTCTTCCTCCTTACGGTTTTAATTTCTTGCTCATCACGTGATGAGAGATAAATACAACGAGATAGAATCAGGAATGCAAAAGTCTAAAATGTTCATCAGGTGAACCTAAGTCTAGTTAGAACTTGGATCCAATGTGAACTTAATTTGTACAAACTCATCATGTACAAAAGTAGTTTCACATGAAGAAGAAGACGGCAAAATAACTCAATAACTCATTGGAAAGATCATAGTAACGTTCTAAAATTATACAGCCGACTTCACTTGGTAGAATTAGGCTTGAGTGTTGTTGCTCAAAGGAAACGTTGACTTCATTGGACTTTTAAGAGGAAGTACAGACTAAATCTTGGAGGTGAACATCCTGCATGATATTATAAGATTTAATCTCGCTTGAAACTGCATAATTATCTATAGATATTGCAAATTAGCTAAACAATGACATAGCTCATGCAACAATGTGAAATTAATATGAATGAATTTCACCTCCTGCAAGCAAAAACTTAAATCTTCAATCAGACGGAAGATTCTTGCTCTTTTTCATTAAATAACTGCAGCTGCCAAATATACGATCCATCACTATAAAAGGCAACCCCAAGCTAATAAAATTTTCCACTTTGCGAGAATCAGAGGGAGAGAAAATGTCTATGGTACGCAGTCTTATTCTTGCATTTGTAAAGAGACTGTTTTTACAACTCGAATCAGTGACTTTTAGGTCGCAAAATAGCAACATTTTCGTTGCGCCAAAGTTTGCCCTCTACAATCCATCTCTCCTACACAAAAATTCCTCATGCAAACCAAAATGACATCATCGAGCTAAAAAAGTTCAAAATGAAAAAGGTTGAAATTAGAATTGAAAAAACAGTGTTCACTCTTCATGAGTAAATTAAGATTTAGATTTTTGTCCCAAACTTCTGTCTCTTAAAAAAGAATATTACAACAACCAAAATATACATTAAAAAATGAATATTTCCACATTTACCAAACATATGTATAATAAAAAGACGAAATAAATTCATCAACCAACGAAAGACTAAACCAGTAACAAAAAAAAAAAAAAAAAAAAAAAAAAAAAAAAAGAAGAAGGATTCAAAGCACACACCTAAACTCTAGCATGCTTATCCAGGATCCTACTGTGTAAACTCAGATTAATTAGATTGAATTGTTCTCCAACTCAACAGTTACAGTCCCTCTCACTTACCGGGCACCTGCTGTCGGTCCCAAGCGTTTCTAATATACATATGGTACGTGTATTTAAAGAGCTGCGCAGGTTGAGAGTTGAGACAAACCCACAGGGCTAAAGCACAAATTAAGAGATTCAAAAACAGAAAAAATGAAGTCAATTTGTCTCATTCTTTCCTTAATCCTCTTCTTAATTCATTTCTCTCTTACCCACGCCGCTGGTGGCAAATGGCAGCTCTTGCAACAAACCGTTGGCATTTCCGCCATGCACATGCAGCTCCTGCGCAATGACCGCGTCGTCATGTTCGACCGCACAGATTTCGGCAAATCTAACCTGTCCTTACCCAACGGAGAATGCGTTAGAAACGACTGCACCGCCCACTCAGCCGAGTATGATGTCAAAACTAACACAGTCCGCGCTCTCACTGTTTTATCCGACGTTTGGTGCTCTTCCGGAGCTGTAGCCCCCAGTGGACGCTTAATCCAAACTGGGGGTAACGGCGACGGAGAGCGCAACGTTAGGGTTCGAGCCCTGCACGGGTTGTGATTGGAAGGAGTTTGAGAATGGCTTAGGCGCTCGCCGTTGGTACGCTACCGATCATATTTTGCCCAATGGACGGCAGATCATCATCGGCGGTAGGCAGCAATTCAACTACGAGCTTTATCCAAAGACCGGGTCTTCGAGCAAAGTCTACAGCTTGCCCTTCCTTGTGCAGACCGATGACGCCGGCGAGGAAAACAATCTTTACCCTTTTGTTTTCCTCAACGTGGATGGGAATTTATTTATCTTTGCGAATAATCGAGCTATTCTATTCGATTATGCAAAGAACAATGTCGTCAAAACCTATCCACAAATACCGGGCGGCGACCCAAGGTGTTTCCCTAGCACAGGTTCAGCCGTGTTGCTGCCGTTAAAAAACTTGGCGGCTCCGTCTGTTGAGGCTGAGGTTTTGGTTTGCGGCGGAGCTCCAAAGGGGTCTTTTGTCAAGGCAAATCAGGGTACTTTTGTGGAAGCTCTAAACACGTGCGCTCGGATCAAAATAAACAACCCGAAACCCCAGTGGGTTATGGAGACTATGCCTCAAGCTAGAGTCATGGGTGACATGTTATTGCTTCCAGATGGCACTGTTCTACTCATCAACGGTGCATCATCAGGAGCTGCAGGTTGGGAAATAGGGCGCAATCCGGTTCTCAACCCGGTTGTGTACCGACCTGACAACGCAATTGGATCACGGTTTGAACAACAAAACCCTACCACCATACCGCGGATGTACCATTCCACCGCGATATTGTTACGCGATGGTAGGGTACTAGTTGGAGGTAGTAACCCTCATGACAAATACGAGTTCACCAACGTGCTTTTCCCAACTGAATTGCGATTAGAGGCATTTAGTCCTGATTATTTGGACGCTAAATACAATAACTTGCGTCCGCAAATTGTTGCGCCCATATCACAAGCTAAGATCAACTACGGAAAGAAACTATCCATTCAGTTTTCGGTGAAGGGAAACCTAGCAACAAAATCAGTGTCAGTGTCGATGGTGGCGCCCTCATTTAATTCACATTCGTTCTCAATGAATCAGAGGCTGCTAGTTCTTGCGGCGGAGAACGTTAAAAAGGTAGGAACAACGGCCTACCAAGTTCAGGTGACTACGCCGGCTTCCGGTAATCTTGCACCTTCAGGATATTATCTTCTGTATGTGGTTCATCAAAAAATTCCAAGTGCTGCCATCTGGGTCCAAATTATGTGATAAAATGAAGGTATTTAAATTTGTATACTATGTTTCCTCTTCCTTTGTATTTTATTTGAAAAAAAGAAGATTAATTGTGAGTTGAAAAAATAAAAATGTTCATAGACAGATCAAACTACAAAAGCAAACAGTTTGATTAATTCTGTGTCATTTTAAAGAATTAGGACTATGTGGCAATTTCCAATTTGTATTTGATTTTTCTTACCAAAGATTACAAGCTGTAATTAATCTAATGAATAAAGTTGTATTAATTTCCATCGAACATTTTTTGGCGCCAGTGCGTTTTTATGTACTTGCAAAGAGTTTATTTTGCAAGTTCTGCACACAAGTGGATAGGGTGTGATTTCTGCCCATGCGTTCTGGGTTTGAAACTGCACTTTTCTAAATTATTTTAATAGTTTCAAATCTTTCATCTCCCCTTAATAAGAGTTTTTAACAATTTATCATATTCAACTAATGTCAATGACTATCGTCAATGGAACAATGGAACGATGCACTGTATGTAGACAGATTGGTAATTAGAAAATGGTGCAGCCGAGTAGAAAATGTTGATTGTTAATTTTGAACGATTAGTGCCTCTTTCGAATACGTGACGAGTCTTTTTCTTTAATAAAGATGCCTATTTTTTTAATTGAGTACAATGATACCGGTAAAATTAAGTATGGATTGCATGGGAGAATCTCCCTTCTATCAATTGCGTGTAGCGCATTGGATACCCTCGTTCATGGACAAGGATCCTCTCCTGAGCTAAGGATGAGGATCCTCCTCATCAAGGGATGTGGGCCGTTGGATGAAAATCCAACGGCTACAATTATTATAACTTTAAAGGGACCCTCTTGTTTGTAGCCGTTTGATTTTCATCCAATGGCCCGCACCAATTGATGAGGAAGATCCTTATCCTTAGCTCAGAAGAGAATCCTGGTCCCTCATTCATGACTTGAGTGGGACCAATGCACTAACTGTGGGAATGTAGCTTTTCAGAATCCTTTCAATTATATACGGGCCTGCAGAATTTAAAACCTGTGCAGAACAGCAATTATATAGCTCGGTGGCTCCAGTAGTTACTATCACTGATCAATGTGGTTGGTGCTGGGTGGAACCCCTCCGTTAAATGTGGGAAGAACTCCAATTTTACTCAATTTTTTTTTCTAGTTTACCAAAACAAAAAAGAATACTGAGGCATATTTTGGTTTGCACTCAGGGGCAAATCCATTTTGAAACAAGGTAGGTCAGCTCGTTCCGCTTAGAATTCCTTACGGATGAGTTGGGTGTTGCCGTTTGAAAATCTAAAATGCTCTTGAAAGTTGCTCTATAACTGATCGACGAGTTACCTTTGTAGGCATTGATAAGAATAGCTGCTAGCCCCATACCTTTGTATGCATTGCTATGGGCTCTTTCGTTAGGCTCACTCGCCATATGTTAGCATATGTCATCATGCTCGGTCAAAAGTTATTGAGTATTGACATCAGTCGACATGCTCACTTGGAAGCTGATAACTTCTGTTGACAGACCTACAATATAACTTGTAAATGACCTCAGGCCTACCAAGGATCAATGAAATGCCAATTTGCATGTTATCATGTCAAAAAAGAAATTTCCACGCGCAACGCGCTATTCTTAATGACATCCCAATAATATTTTAAGTGCTTTTCAAATTCAAAAATATTTAATTTAAAAACACTTTCATTTATTAGAAATACATTTCCAATCTAGCCCCTAATTTCATAATACTAATTGTATATAACCATATTCCTTGGATTTGTGAACGAGTCGTGACTAGGAAAAACTCGGCCGAGTTGTATAACTAGAAGGCAAAACGACATCGTTCCCAGTACATACTCAAATCATCTCGACCCAATTCCTTCTTCCTTTGAAAAATTGGAAGCTTTGGGGGTTCGATGGAGGCTAGCAAGAAGGGCTACGCGTGGGCAGTCTCTGCCGGGCTCTGCGCCGCTTCCGCCGCCGTTTCGGCGAAGCTCATCACTAATCAGGTGCCTTTCGGATATTCAATTTCACGAATTTAAGACCGTTGGATTACATCTTCAAAACCCCTAGAATCTCTTGATTTAGTAATTCAGGTGATTAATTTTTGGGGATTTTCACAGATTGTAAAGTACTGTTTCGTGATATTATTCAACGTGACAATGTGGGGGTGCTTTGTGCAAAGCTTAAAAAATCTGTCGTCTCTGCAAGCTACAGCGACGAACTTTGCTACCAACTTCCTCACTTCTGGTCTGGCTGGATACTTTTTGTTTCAAGAACCCTTATCTGAGAAGGAAATTCTTTGTCTCTGTTCCGTTTTGTGTTAACTTAATGAAGTTTAAGTCATTTACTTCTTGACTAAAAAAAGGTGACCCCAAGCCTACACCTTTATGAGCAACGTCTATCTACGCAATCTTACCCTTATTTGCAATTGTTTCCATAACTTGAAAACAACATTTTCTTTGCGTCAAGACTCATCCTTTGTTTTCGTGACTAAAATGCTCAAAATTATTAACTCTTGCCAAGTTTCTTGTGTAATGCATTCACTGAATACAAATGTGTGGAGCAAATGAAAAAAAAAAAATGAATGGATGACACTGTTGTCATATGCCACATGTTTACTTATTTGAAAATGAGAAGTCGTTGATCATGAAAAGGACGAGATCTATTAGTCATGTCGTATTTGATATGATTTATGATTTTCAAGTATTAGATTATGGACTAATACACAATTTTCTTTTATTTCACGTGTTAGTAAATAAAAGGGAGAAGTCGGTAATTTGAATAATTCTAATACCCATGTTTTTCTTGACGTGGGGACGAATCAGAATAACTCCAGTACTCATGCCATGTAAGTAAACAAGCCACCTAGTAGTATGTGTTTGGGCCAGAAAAGTGGTGGGAAATGTTTGGCCTTCACTAGTAGGCCTGTAACTCTGTGGTCATTGATCAAATGATTCCGAAATTTATTTCAGTAAACGAAGAAATCGAAAACAACTGGTTCTTTTCACATAAAACAATTGAATGCGCCATGGGTTATATGGCTGCTAGTGTTTCTTATCTGGTAAAATCACAGAATGGTGATCGACGACGGAGTTTCTTCACCAAATATTTCATTTCTCTGTTGGGAGAGGCCGTAGAATTGCGGCTGCTTGTACATTGTTTTTACACCTGCATATAATTGTTCATAGTACGAACATTGAGAAAATGTGGCTTTAGCCTTGCTTGACATATTTCATTTGCATATCTGATGGAAAGGCTTGTTGACAGTGGTTTGCAGGTGCCCTGCTCATTGTCGTTGGCGCTCTCGTGCTTAGTAAGTCAAGTATCGAGAAGAAGGCTCATACGGATTAATGTTTCTGCATTCCACTTGGCGTTCTCGGTTTTGGTTGAGAGATTAGATAACTACAGATTTTGTGAGGATGTACCTGAAACTAAAACAGTTGAACAATCTGTTTTGTTTATGTGTAATTGTGCTTTTTGTGTAATTTTGTACTTTGGTGACTCATTTTGTGAATAAGATTATTCATATTTTATTTCATTGTATTCGTGTATCAAATAAACGAGTGTGCAGAAACAGAAAAACAGCTTTTTGGAGTGCTACTACTCCTCATCAATTCATGAATTGACACGAGCTAGATCTAAACTTAATAAAAGACAATTTCAATCTTTTTATCCAGTGGAAATTATGGGAAGCTTCACATCATGAAATAATTTAATTATATCTAAGTGGAACTGTTCAATGGTTTGGAATTCTGGATATATTCCCATGCAAACTCCGCGAACAAAAGTTAGGGATAACCACGACATCCTATAGGCTTATTAGGGTCGCTAATGGAGCATTTTCTTTGGCATCTTGTTCTTAAAAACTTGGTCATCCTTCAACCAAAACCATCAACAATCCGTGGCCCACTTGGTCCCAAAGTTGATACGTTAAACATAGTTTCTCATATCATAAGGACTATGGAGGAAGAATCTGTCTTGTGGTTTTAATTTCTTACTCATCACGTGATGAGAGATAAATACAACGAGATGGAATCAGGAATGCAAAAGTCTAAACTGTTCATCAGGTGAACCTAAGTCTAATTAGAACTTGGATCCAATGTGAACTTAATATGTACTAACTCATGTACAAAAGTAGTTTTATTTACAAATTTGTATTTTTTATCATCAGAAAAGATCATCAAACTTGCATTCGATCGAGATATCAAGTGATAATATTTCATAAGTATTATGCATTTTCGTGTTTTCGTGTTTTCTAACTTCTCGTAATTGGTTTGGATTAACCATTTTGGTGTTCAAATAATCGAATGACATGTAGATTCTTGTACACGCTACGATAAAAGATTTTGTGAAAGCAAATTTTGCGTTGGAGTTTATACGTGAGAGAAAAACATGGTGGCACTGTCTCTCTACGGACAGCTCAGAACTTGACTGTCCAAGTGTCATGTATGCAAAAGCCCTGAATCAAAAGTACACTTAGAGACAAATCGAAGGAGACTTCGATCTGTCTATACAGTTTGACAAATACTTGAAAAACAAAGGGACTGAAAGTTCCTGATCATTCATCACTCTGAGAAGCTCCTGCAAAAAACTAAGGTATGGAAAATAAAAAATTTGACCTCGCTTCTCTTCTCTGCAAATTTCAATATTGTAATCTGCATACTCTGCAAAAAAAAGAAACTTCTTTTACCAACGAAATTAGAAAAGAAAAAGAAAAAAAAAGGGAATTTCTTTTACTTCCCAAAGAGCTTTAATGGCAGTAAAGAACAGTAAAGGTGACGGTGGAGAAGCTGCTTTTACACAAAGCTTCATTCTTACGTATTTGAGGAAAAAGAAAGACGACCGACGTTACAAAAGTTAGAGATTATGCAATTGAAGAGATTCGTTTTGGGACAGAGAAGTGTTTTTATTTTTTGAAGGGGGAAGGCTCTCAATTTCTCTCCTGCTTTTGCTTTTCTCCACTTCTTCACACCACTTTAATGTTTTCTTGGAGTCCAAGTGGGACTCTTTTGGGTTGTAAATCTCTCTCTCTCATGCCACCTTTCATCAGTGTCTCTCTTCCTCCTTTAGCTTGAGCAGCAGAATTTCTGAGACCACAGTTTTGGAGTTCTTCTCAATACAAGAACTTGCCTTCTGAATTTTCGATTTAGTTCTTCAAAAAGTAATAATCTTTTTCTTTTTTCTTCCTCTTGTAGTAATAATCATTGTTTTCCTTTTTTATTTTTTTTGTAAATTTTCAGTCTTGGTAAGTGTTTATTTCAGTGGGATTCAAGTTGGTTTTTGGTGCTTTGAGAATTTGGTTTTTTATTTTTATTTTTTTCTGGAATTTTGGTTGGCATGCTGAGTGATAAACCGATAATTAACTGAACTTTCTGGATGTCTTGTAGAGAGGAGAAGGAAACAGGAGAGAAAAATGGCAGGAGGTGGACATGCACCGCCACCGAAACAGGAGGAGCTACAGCCTCATCTGGTCAAAGATCAGCTGCCTAACGTTTACTACTGCATTACCAGTCCTCCTCCTTGGCGTGAGTGCATAATTCTCTTTCCACATTGTTGACATTTTCTCTTTATAAGTATTTGCTCTGCCAATTTGGAGTCGTTTTATTTCGTTGATACTGTTAGAACAATCAAATGTCAAGTGTATAATATATAACAATTACACAGTTTAGCTTGAATAGAAATTTCACAAATATACGATATATCTTACAATATGAACAATTTAATGAATTTGAATAACAAATCACAAAAAACACACTGACTTGTTTTCGAAAGATAGAGGCTTGCAGAGCAATCTCCTAAGACAGAAATACGTCCCTACACCAGTGCAGTAGTTCAAATGACGTCTATCTTGCAGGATACAACTATCTAATCCAAGTTCTTACACACGAACTTGGATTCTTGACGAATTGGTAGTGTTGTTCTCTGTAAGGAACAAAAAGGAGCGATTGAATTGATGTGTATTTCGTTTCTAAGCGGACTGCCATATATATAATGGCTTAACTTGAACAAACGCAACCGTTTGTCCTTATCAATTACAAAACGGACGTAACTATTCACTTAGTTTTATCCTTTTGGAAAAACTGAATCCAAAAATTAAAAACGAAAAAAATTAAACTTGTGTTTTTGTCAATCCGAACCTCCATTTATAAAACTCAATGTCCATAGCTTTAACTTAATTCATTTTAAACTATAAGTGAGTTAAACCACTTATAAAGAGGACTTTAACAATCTGTTTGGGCGATGTGGGACTGAGTCCCACTCACAAGTTCCAACAGATACTTTGTTATGTGGCGCTAATGGTGATGATCATTTTCGCGTTAGTATTCCCTCGTTGAGTTATATGAATCTCTGTTAGGTTTCTGCTTTTGTATGTATGCTTATGTTCTATTTGTTGGGACACTTTTGGAGAAAATGAAAGTTCTTTCACCTTCATCGGTTTTTACTTATTTATTTATTTATACTATAACCAGCATTTGTATACCGATGTGATTATTGTGTGTGATTGTGGAATTATTTCTCAATGCAGCTGAAGCCATCCTACTTGGTTTCCAACATTACTTGGTGATGCTTGGCACGACGGTTCTGATTCCCACCTCTCTCGTTCCTCAGATGGGAGGAGGAAGCGTAAGGCTTTTACAATGATAGTAGCAATCAACCATTCTCGATCATTCTTCGCTCTGATACGCTGATCTGTTCCCGGATCATGACTCTTAGGTGTCTAACTAATTTCACCATCCTTATAGGGGGAGAAAGCAAAAATGATTCAGACTATACTCTTTGTTGCTGGATTAAACACACTGCTTCAAACATTCTTTGGGACTCGTTTACCTGCAGTGATTGGAGCATCCTATACCTATGTGCCAACAACCATTTCGATTATCTTGGCTGGTCGGTATAGTGACATTGTGAACCCCCAGGAGGTTGTTCCATTGGAATCTCACTAGTGCTTTTCAATTACTATTGTCCTTTATGACAACATAACAGCGTCTGACATGTTCTATGATGGATATCCAGAAATTTGAGAAGATAATGCGTGGAACCCAGGGTGCACTTATTGTTGCCTCAACTCTGCAGATTGTAGTTGGCTTCAGCGGTCTTTGGCGCAATGTGGCGAGGTTTGTTGAGACTCTGCCATATTAATAGTGTTAATAAATTCTTTTTAGTTGCGTTGTGGTATTTTGGCCTGGCTAATATTTTCTTCGGGGTGTTTTTAATATGTTCATTAGTGAGCACCTATGTTGATTGCATCTCTTTCAATGTTTGCGTTTTCATTGCAAACACCAAGTTACTTTACAATTTAGTGAAACATTCATCATGATATGGGTTGCGATTTAAATTTCATTTTTGTTTTATGATTCGCTAAGCCTATTAAACATGTGTTGTCGATTAATTATCAATTGTTTCTACTTGTCCAGGTTCCTAAGTCCACTTTCTGCTGTTCCTTTGGTCGCTTTGTCAGGATTTGGGCTATACGAGTTTGGTTTTCCTGTGGTATGCGTTTACATTTTCCTTTGTTGGTTACAAGATTACCTGTTAAAACGTTTATTTGCTTTCCCACCCTTCTTTTTAACTTTACTAGGTTATTAACTTTGGATTTGGATGTGTAGTTTGCGAAGTGTGTGGAGATTGGGCTACCGCAACTGATCATGCTACTGATATTTTCACAGGTACGCTTCGATCATTTGATATTTTTTTTCCTTATTTCTTGGTAAACAACATCAACTGTGGATCACCTCAGTTGAAATATTCATATGGAAGTGTATTAATCTAGTGAATTTTTCCAGTACATCCCTCATTTGTTGCGCAGTGAGACGCATGTCTTTGATCGCTTTGCTGTTCTATTTTCGGTGGTCATTGTGTGGATTTATGCTCATCTGCTTACTGTGGGTGGGGCCTATAAGAACACAGGACCCAGAACTCAATTAACCTGTCGAACTGATCGTGCTGGTATCATAGGTGCTGCTCCATGGTAATTCCCTTGTGGTGCTTCGTTCTCATAACTTATAATGCTTTATACTACGTCATTATGCATTTTCGATGCTGATTGTTCAACACTTTCTCAGGATAAGGATTCCATATCCCTTTCAATGGGGAGCTCCCACATTCGATGCTGGAGAAGCTTTTGCAATGATGGCTGTTTCATTTGTTGCTCTTGTAGAGGTTTGCATACCTCTATTCTTGTTCTCATTACTAAGATTTTTATAACTTCCCAGTAGTTATTGTCGATATGTTAATATTTGGAAGATCGAATTGATGTATCATTCCTTTTGATTTGCTTATCGTAATGTAAATTTTATGGTTGAACAGTCCACCGGTGCCTTTATTGCTGTGTCAAGGTATGCAAGTGCAACTCCGCTGCCACCTTCTGTTTTAAGCCGCGGTGTTGGTTGGCAGGTAATCACATATGATTTCATGTTTCATACTTAGAACTCCAAGATTATTCTTTATAAACTTAGCAAACATATTTATTCTTTATAACGTTATTTTGAGTTTAGGGAGTCGGAATTCTTTTCTGTGGTATATTCGGCACTGGGAATGGAGCTTCAGTATCTGTGTAAGCTTCTTTTGCACCCGTACATATCTAGAAATAACTTTTAGCAGTAGTTTACCTGACTATCTTCCCAATTGGCATGAAAACTGTTGTTGAACTTGTCTCCAGTGAAAATGCTGGTTTGTTAGCATTGACACGGGTTGGTAGCCGAAGGGTGGTTCAAATTTCAGCCTGTTTCATGATCTTCTTTTCCATACTTGGTAAGTGACTTACAATTCCTGCATTATATTTCTGCTTATATATGTGCTAAACAATCGTTGGTTTTCAGGAAAATTTGGAGCTGTCTTTGCCTCAATTCCAGCACCCATCATTGCAGCATTGTATTGCTTTTTCTTCGCTTATGTCGGTATGCGTTGCCAACTGATGAATCCGCTTCTGATAGTAGACCTTGGTGGGATGGTCACTTAATGTATTTCTCCATAATTTTGCATGAGCAGGTTCTGCAGGTCTTACCTTGCTTCAATTTTGCAACCTCAACAGTTTTCGGACGAAATTTATCTTAGGCTTCTCTATTTACATGGGCTTGTCGATTCCACAATATTTCAACGAATACACCCTCATTAGAGGCTACGGCCCCGTGCACACCGGAGCAAGATGGGTACGGAACAAAACCATTCCTGTCTTCCTCTAAACTCCTTAAAATTACTATCTTTTCTTGTTCGAGTCCCATGCCTCATGCAAGTGACTAGTGATTCATTTTTCCCCATGTTTTTTTGCAGTTCAATGATATGATCAACGTTCCTTTCTCGTCCGAACCATTTGTGGCCGGTTTCTTGGCAGTATTCTTGGACATCACGCTACACCGCAAGGACAGCGCTACAAGGAAAGATCGCGGCATGCATTGGTGGGATAGATTCCGATCTTTCAAGACAGATACAAGAAGCGAGGAATTCTACTCCCTGCCTTTCAACCTCAACAAGTTTTTCCCCTCAGTGTGATGATATTGAAACTGTCTCAGATGCTCCGGCATGATCTCATTGTCTGTACCAAACTAGAACATGAATCTTGTTTTCCCTCCTTTTCTTCTGTTTACTCTAAGGAAGGACACAACATATCATATATATGAAAATCTTTGTCCTACGCCTTCTGGCAGTCTCATCCAGACTCTGACTGAACTGTGTGGACGTAAAGAAGTAACATGGGCTTGTATTTGGCCTTAGGGTTTATAGCGACATAGATCAGTTAGTCAAGACAGTGTAAAAATAGTTATGTATCTTCTTGTAAGAAAACATAAAAAGAAATTCCCTTTTAAGGACTTCATTTATTTCATCAGCTTTTAAATACTTAATTGAACAAAACAAAAACTCAAAAATTCAGGACTTACCCATATGGACATGGCAATGCCACATGGCTCCTACCACCATCAACAAGAAGGACCTTACAGAAACTTTCATAAACTATAAACAACTTTGAAATTTTAAGAGGACGGTTCTATTTACACATATTTTTTTATTTTTCATAAATTTCTTATTAATTTTTGTTCTTGAGTCTTCTCCGGTTCATTTGATTTGATGATCATAAGAGGATGAAGGTAAAAAAAAGATAAAGTGGATATCACCACCCTTTTAAAAAGGAACAAGGAGTCCTGGATTTTAGTTCCATTCCACCATTATTTAGGGCAAATTAGACAGAAAAATAAGGGACTGGGACACTACACACTCAATGGGGGCCTCCAGCATTTGCCGCGTTGGTCATGCCGACAACCTCTCCTGCGCAAACCTCTTTGGATACGTCATATCTCTAACAGCTCGGTCATGAGCCCTGGTAAGTTGGGGGAGATTCTTGGCCACCTCGCTCTTCCTATACATATTCTTGGCCGTCACACCGTCACATATTTTCTATTATATGTTAGAATGATAGAATATCTCACGAGTCACACATATTTTCAATTATATTTTAGAATTTCTCTCTAGCCACACCTCTCGTCACACTACATATTTTCAATTATATGTTAGATCTAATCTCCCACGAGCCGAAATATAAACTGTAATAATCTTCGTCACATTCATGAAGTAAAAGAACTAAGAAATCCCAGTTGTATATTGGGCTTTGAGCTTACACTACCATGTACATACCTCTGTAGAATAAGCTTAGCAGGGTAGACAAACCCATTTTGTAAAAACAAACCAAATGGACGTTGTTTTCCTTAAAATGAGAAAAATTACATATAAACAATCTAATTATGTGTTTTGTCATATCACTCTTAAAAAAGACAAGTGAATCAGTATAAGTTAAAATCATTCCTCGAGATCATCAGACTACACTAATCAAATTTTCCTGCTTTATTTACTTCAAAAAAGGCATGTATACAAAGAAAGAAGAAAAAGTCACCAAGATTTTTAGGAAGAACGGATGAGGAGGTTGTTCCTGTTAAGGGAAGGAATCAGCCTGTTATGTTCATAATATGTCTCCAAAAACTAGGGCAGCCCCAGGTGTTGATGTGATTTAAGCAAAAGAATCAAAAGGGTGACAAGCTGGCCACCACAAAATGGTTGTGTCAATTTCTAGTTTCTCAACACCATGGATGGTATCTTTCTGCCTAATCAAATAATTCAATTTGATCTCAACTGTTCTTTCTGACATGCAGATTTATACCAAGGAAAGGAACCATTTGCACTCATAAATCATAAAGTTTGAAAGAAAATAAGGATAAAAGTGTAAACATCAACAAAAGATGCATGCAGCAAGACTGTTTCTGATAAGTCTCAAGAGAACATATATATGTTTATATCCATATTTATCCAATTATTCTTGAGAGTGTGACATAAAGAAGGAAAAAAGGAAAGGTGGTCGAACATTGAGACCTCTTTCAGTAAGTAAAATCTGAATGCTGCTAAACTAACTGCCACTGGTCATGCGTGTTGATATTTACAGATTTAAAAACTTCTTGAGTCGATCAACCATTGTTGACCAATTATGATTTCTGAAAATATGGCTTTAGCCCCTAAAACTTAATTTTCATTACATAAAACCCGACATAATTTTTTTACTTGATTAAAACCCATTGACTAGGCTCCACACAAGCAAATTCATTAACTATGTTTGACTTCACCATTGTACATTTTTTAATGCCTAATATACCCTTAATTACATTTTTGACCTATATAATTAATTGTATACGGATTAAAAGGTGGATTAATGATTATTGAAAAGAGAAATAAGCATTACTATTCATAATATATATGATGTAATTTAACAAATATGTGGGGAATCTGTAAATGTGCCTAATAGTTGTGCTAACATATGGAGAATAATTTACGTACAACATAAATAAATGTTATTTGCCTCAAAGTTATTTAATTTACATATTTATATAGGTAAATTATTTTACACACATATATAATAATAATATTTTACATATAAATATAGGCAAATTATTTTACACGCACATATAATAATAATAATAATAATAATAATAATAATAATAAAATGTGCCTTATATATATTAATACATGTAAAATAATTTATCTACAACATATAGAAATGTTATTTTATTCAAAGTTAATTACCTATATTTTACATATAGATATAGGTAAATTACTTTACACAGACATACATATGGTAACAATAAAATGTGTCTAACATGTGTACTTTTTTTTATCCAAGCCTAACATATGTACTAATACATGCAAATTAATTTACCTACAACATTAATTTACCTATATATTACATATAAATATAGGTAAATTATGTTACACAGTATAATAATAATGTGACGAATAGATATATGTAATGGTGTACCTACAAAATATAAAAATATTACTTTATTTCAAATACATATAATTATAAGTGGCTAAAAAACGTCAAGAGGAGTAATTAGAATTTAATGCCCATATTATGTGGGCATGATTGAAGCCAAAATTGGAGGGTTGTGTGTGAGAAAACGTTAGAAGGGTTGTGGCATATGTTGTAAATTATATGAAGTATTAGGTCATTTAATTTCTAATGTGGCAACATATTTGAATTTTGGGTTTATATTGGATGTTTAAAGATAGGTGGGTTTTAATCTAAAAATTACGAGTTGTATAGACCTATATCTAAAGAACCCTTATGATTTTAGAATTAAAGTTGTAAAAATGATAATACTGATCTGATTCGAACACATCAAAATAAAAGCTTAGTGCTTAATTAACAATATTGCTGCATCTTTAATAATTATTGGCTTGATATATATGGCCACCTTTGGAAGAAAAAAAATAATCTCATCCTCCGGTCCTCGTTGCTATTAAGATTTATTATCGTTTCGGAGTTAAAGTTATATCCACTAAGAAATTAAATAAGTTAAACTAGTAAATAAATATAAGTTTAAGGGCTCGTTTGAAAATGTCTTTAAAATGATTGAAATAGTTTTTAAAGAAAATGTTTATGGGTTCTAAAAGCATTTTAAAGTCTGCAAGAAACACCAGTTATGTGCTTTTTGTAGAAAACACTTCAAGTGTTTTTCTATAATTCACTTGCATTGCTATTAAAGATTAGTTCAAAAAAATTTTTTACAAAAAACGATTTCAACTATTTTAAAAGTAGTTCTAAATAACCCCCAGATCCACTAAGTGGAGTGCAATGATGCTGCACTTACACGGTCTAGTTGAGAACAATTAGATGCTACACTACTAGATTGGACCATTAAAGGAGAAGAGAATATAGGATGATTGATTAGTATAGGAGAACATTAGATGCTACACTACTAGATTAGACCATTAAAGGAGTAGAGAATATAGGATGATTGATTATTATATCATATGCTTTTAATAATGTGTTCTTCAAGAGTCCTAGGAGAACATATGACAAACAAGCACTCAAGTTTGGATTATGTAGATAAAAGCATCTTATTCTAAGATTTTATTGTAAATTTCGTTACCACTTATAACGTCATGAAAGCTGATATACTAAATACACTCCGAAGCTTGAGTTAGTCAAATATAATTAGAAAATTTTAAAAGTGTTTGGCTAAGTAAGATGAGATTACATTGTTAAGGCAAATAGTGAAATGTTGTGGTGTCGATGTGTGTCTTTGAACGTCATTGGGATGCAATTAGGGAAAGAATAAGCGTTATATTTCTTACGTGGAGGGCAACCGTACATCAATCCATGGAGTAGCTCTTCACTTCATGGTGATCGGTAGGTTGCTAGTCGACTAGGGTTGATCGTTGAACAATCGATGTTGATTTGGTGATCTTTTTGCTCATACGTCCATGCTATAAGGTCCCTTAACGATCGATCGCCAGAAACAGGTTGCTATGCTTCCATTTTTGTATATCAAGGGGACTTGGGCGGATCGACAAGGCGAAATTGAGCATGTTGACCATCGGTCAAGCAAGCGTGCCACCAACAACATGCAAGTGCATGACTAGCCCTCAATGTTGACCTTTGAACTGAAGGGCACCCAGGAAGAAAAAGACCTTTCCCATGGTCCTTAAATAGCATTCACATGCTTCCCTACGTGATCGTCAATGAACAGTGTTCCGTACAGTGCTTTTGCCACAAAATTCCCAAGTTCTTTTTTTTTTTCAAACTAGATAACTTTCGTTAATTAAAATAGCTAGTGCAAGATATGGAAAATTCAAAAGGCAATCTAAATACAAGCATATTTTGAAAAGAAAATACAACAGACAGGTCCAAACAGAGCAAATTACAAAAATCCTGATATCTGAAAGACTGCTGCCTCCACCACACCAGCTGCTTTGCCATCGCAAATCCACCACCACGACCAAGAAGAACCCATGAACAAATTGAATGAACAAAAAATGGGGGTGAGCGAGTCACCCGCGCAATAACTGCTCTTATCATCCTACCAAATAGTGCTAATAGCATTTTAACTATTGAAAATGAATCCTACATTGATTGGAGGAGGGACTTTTCATAGGCTTATAAGGGTTGATTTGGTATTGCTATGCTTTGAAAAAAAAATGTTTCTGCCGTGATGTGAGAATAAGCTCATTTTTGCTGTTTCACGTTTTCAGCATTTTTTCCCCCAAAACTGTGAAAGATAAGCTGTTTTTAAGTGTTTACCAAACACTTTTTTGAGCTCAGCTTTTTTTTATACCCATTTTGTATAAAAACACCTTAGTACCAAACCAGTACTAAGTAAGTTGGGCTAGTCCTATATTGCCAATTGATTTTATGGTGAAACCTCAACTTTCTTCATGGTATTAGAGCAAGATGTCCTGTGTGTGAAGCCAAACGGCCACACGACCTCCACGTCACCCATTGTGTTGTTCATGTGTTAAACTTGAAAAATTCGTCACACGTAAAAGACCGTGTTGAGAATGAATCACATATTAATCAGAGGAGGGACCTTGCATGGACTTATAAGTAAGTTGAGTTACTTTCCATATTACGAATTAATTTTATGATGAAATATCAACTCTTTCTATTAATAACTTCCTAACACTAAAGTGTGCCAAGGAAGAGAAGCACCCGATGGGCCTAGTAGTAGAGGTTGGCGGTGGATGATTGACGATGTGAAGAACATCTGAGGAAGAGAAGAGCTTAAAAGCCTAGAACTAAAACAAGCTCAGATGAGATGAGAAAGAAGTAGTTGAAATTGGCAAGTAAGGGGAGTTGCAACTGACCCCATCCCAAAATAGGAGCCGGGGGCAGGGGGAGGGGGTTGGGGCCTTTTTTTTTATTTAAATTTTTTTTTCTCGCTCTGCTATCTCCGTGAAAGAGAAGCCGTTGAGGATTAGGCTCGTTAGAGATAAATGTTTCAGAATGTTAAGAAAACGATTCGGTATACCAAATGTCGCTGTATAATCACTTGTATTACGATACTTAGTGTATCAAATTGTGTATCGGGCACACTGAAAAATCTATGCATCAGAGAGGGTGTACCTTCAATCATAAGCTTTTCCTAATTAAAATACAATTAATTATAGTTCCTCCGTAAAAATTGTACTGACTCCGTATTCGATCGAAGATGATCCTGATGCATGAACAAAAACGGAAACCAAGTGACATCAGTTACAGTTCCTCTTCTTTACTTAATTGTCCTTTTTTGTTACCCTAATGTCGTTTGGATCTTTGACACTCCGATTCGATCCATTGTTTAAAGAGCATAAATTTAAAAATTTAGTTAGAATGGATAGTTTGTGTTTAGTATTATGGTGGGGGGAAGAATGTGGAGAAAGACACATTGAAACCCATTTGTAAATAACAAGAAGAAAAGAACAAGATGAACAAAACCCTACACCAATTACACAAGACCCTGTCAGAATCCACTGGTTGTAGACAAAGGTTTAAACTTTAATTAGATATAAAAATGTATTCCTTAATACTAGACAACATTTTTAAGTTCATGATTTCAAAAAGAGTAATGTTACTCATACCATGTTTTTGTACCATATTTTCATACCACCTTAGGTGGCATTTGATGCGAACAACCATATCATTTGAATGAATCAGATTTTTAAATTTAGTTCATTATTTAATAAACTAATAATTAAGAAAAACTAGTTAATTAAATAATGATTGTGGTATACGAGAAGTCTTTCTTCTTCATTTCCTTGGGTTTTGTAAATTTTTCAAATGATGTGGCTGTCCACATCAGATGCCACCCAAAATAATATAGAAATGTGATATAAAAACATGGTATGAATAACATTAGTCTTTCAAGAATGTTTAAGGGCCAACGAAAGGAGGAACAGACATTCAGGACCTAATCTTTGCCTTGCCGCCCCCACAAACTGCAATCTATGAACATCAATATTATTAATTATTATTGAAAAATTTGAAACCCATCCACTTCTTATATTTAAAGCCGTCCAAGATTATAAGAAGTGAAGGGATTTATAATTTAATAAAAACCAATTATTAAAAATTAATGACTGTCACAACCAACGCCATAAGAAGTTAAGGCCATTTTGTATTTAAATGAATTGGGTGTCAACTCCTACATTGAACAAGAAATAGTCCTTTTTTCATATAATATTTGAGCAAAAATAAAAAATCTCCCAACACCTCGCATGGCATACACATACTGACATTAGCCAAAAGGGATGTTTATTAATCTCATGTTTATATAGCTTAATTAAACCAGATTTACATTAATTGTCAAAGACTGTCAGAAAGATTAACACTTGTCTCTTAACTTGGTCAGGATTTTTGCTCATTATCCAAGGATAAATATTTTTAATATACAGACCAGAAAATTGTACAATTTTCGTTCTTCATTTGGTCAAATTTTACGTTTGGCTTGTGTAGCTGATTTAGGGTTCCAAATCGACTATGTGACAACAATTGTAAATTTGTTATGTCTCGTGTCAGAATTTGCTCCCAAAATTTTAAACATGATTTGATATGGCAGTCGACTTCAGTAATCATCTTTTTCTGTGGGTAAGATGTGATATTTTCATCTTAATCCTTAATACAAAGAATTATAAGTTTATTAGGGGGTTGAAACGATTGTTTTTGTTGTACATGCATGTCTACGACCTAAGTTCTCATTCTTTGGAATAGTAACCATGACCAAACCATTAGAAGTCAAATTAGAAAGTGGGTTACATATTTTGAATTATAAACGAAAACTTACGACTCATTTTTATGTTTTAAGTAGTGAAAATATTTAGTAGGACAGTTTGAACAGTCGATTACAATATTAAAATATGTATTTGTATGGCGTCTATTATTACATGAATACAACCGAATTTATTTCTTTGTGAAAATGTCTGATCATTCGACTAATGAGGCTACTTTACCCAAATTTTTATCTTTAGGTATCATCATCATGCAACGTGATATGAAAATAATCACCTAGATTTTCGTAATTCTAATTGTGAGAATATAATTTTAGAAATAGAACAAAAAATAAAGATGAGCAAGTAGATAATTTAATAAATAAAATGAAAATTGCCAGTATGAACGCTCACATATCTAATTAAGTATTTTTAGGTATCACTTTGATCCAATCCTACTCAAAATTGCGTTGGACACTGAAGCTTGTACGAAAAGTTGTGCATAGTGCTTAATAATATTTCCCGCCCTAAACACACATTAGTGGGTTGCTTTTTACGCATAGCTAGCAGCCCCCATGTTGAATGAGTACTACCCTCCTCATACAGAATTTCAAAAGTTAATTACACAAAATAAATCATGCATGATTAGCAGTGGACGCAACGTGTATAAAGAGCTCCGATCGCTCTGAATTTTTCACATTCCGGAATCCATCTTTCCTCCCATTTTCTTGGCAACCAAACACAAAGTTAGAACCTCACCAAGATAGTGTGTGATGGGATGTCGTAGTCGACTGTCCATACTCAAAGCAAAAGAATCTTAGCACACGCACGCCCTGCCCCATCTGCCGCCTTGGTCACATAATACTTTTCTCACATTAATTAGTAGCTTCGGTTTTTCCTAAGTCCCTAAACCTTGACCCCGTCGATACCCCCGAGCGTGTCCTTCCAAACCACTACCATATAACATCTCTCCACGTGGCAGTAAACTCGCTTCGTAATCACCAAGCCGGTGCCCCCTTGCTACTAAGCTCATAATCACTGTTAGTACTAATTAAAATAATCGGCATTGTTGCTTGGGAGAAATTTTATGTTGTAACGGGAACACGAGTAGTACACTACTTGTTTTTAAGTAAGTGGTTGAAAATTTTATTTTTTAAGTTATTAACCTTTTAACACATATATCATACTATTTATATAGTGATACCATCTCGTGTGCCGATCATTGAAAAATCTCTCGTTGCTTGGACATGTTTCAGTGTCAATTAGGTTTTAAACTAAAGCACGCAGCATGAGTTGGTTGGGGAAGTGAGAGAGAGACGGGGAAACATGGTAAACCTTTGCTTATATCTTTGGGTTTGTGGGTTGTGAACTTATGGGAGGAGAGCTGTACAGAAAGTGACTTCCTTCTTCTTCCTCTTCTATTTCTTCTTCTATTTCTTCTTCTTCCTCCTTATCTCTCTATCTTCGTCGTCGTCGTCTTCTTTCGTAAGTTTCTGGAGAGAGAGAGGGTCTAGAGAGAGAGATGGGGAACTGTCAAGCCATTGATGCAGCAGCTCTGGTGATACAGCATCCGAGTGGGAAGCTAGAGAGGATGTATTGGCCTATAAGTGCGAGTGAGGTGATGAGGTTGAACCCCGGTCACTACGTTTCCCTCATCATTCCGTTGCCGGTTTCCGAACAAGATCACGAACAAGTAGCAGAGAATCACGAGGAAGAGCACGGCAAAGCGGTGCGCTTCACTCGCGTCAAGCTTCTTCGGCCAAACGAAACTCTCGCTCTCGGCCATGCCTACCGGCTGGTTACTGCTCAAGGTATGGTCTTTGTGTTCATGTTTTTTGAGGTTGTTGTCGGGTTGTTGTCGGGTTTTGAAAGTTTCTGTGTGTTGATGTTTGTGTTTTTTTTTGGGTGGTATTTGTAGAGGTTAAGAAGGTTTTGAAGGCGAAAAAGAAGAAACAGCAGCTCGAATTGCTCGAGAAGTTGCGAACTGGGCAAGGGAAGGAGAATTCGGGTTGCGAAGAGGCAGCAGCAGAAGTGAAATCTGATGAGAAGGAGAATAACAAGCATGTATGTAGAAGTTGAACAACCCTTCTCATCTGTTTGTATCGACAAACTTCTGTTATCGGTCTGTAATACTAATGCTTAGCTGTGTGGTAATTCAGGCTTCAAAACGCGAAAGGCACCGATCAAGGACATCATCAGCGAATGCTGCCGCTGCTGCCGCTGCTGCTGCTGCCGCTGCTGCTGCTGCCGCACTGAGGTCCAAGTCTTGGCGCCCCTCGTTGCAGAGCATCTCCGAGGGCGTAAACTGATCAGCGGTTTCCAAACTTCGATAGCGAACAGAATGCAGAGTAGACAATAGAGTGCAAAAATGGATCCCATGTTGAAAGCAATAATCCATCTGTATAGCAACACACAGAAAAAAAGCGCTGAATCTGACATTGTATTAGAAGTGTGAGTTTCCTGGTAGCCAATGGGTCTCTTCCCCATTTTTTTGTGTTTGAAATATAAATGATCTGGAGAAATACAAAACCAAAAGTTAAATTTGTGTGGATTACAAAAATGATACATCATTTCGGTGTTTTCGAGTTCCAAGTTTCCCAGTCTCGATCGAGGTAGCTTTGAGCCCATAACAGAGATGTTCTTGCAGCCAAAGGTGCTCCAGGTAATTCCTTCTCCTTCAGAGCAACCAACATATCAGTGAAAGGCTCTACCAACAATGTCCCGGGTCCTCCATACTCCCTGTGCAAGAATTCACTGAATATCTGGTTTGAAACAAGAGGTTAAATTAGTTAATTGAATTCTGAGTGATTCAAATAGTATCAAACGAGTGTGTTCTATCCTCTGCACCCGAGTTTTAATGCACCACATATTGAAATTGTAGGTAGGAATAAGACAACATTTGCCAGAAGGTTAACGTGCAAAGATGGAAAGAACTATTTGATGGAAGCTGTCTGGAAAATAGTACAGGGGAGTGAGGTCAGATTTTTGTCCAAAGGCTCAATTATTGTACTGTTTTACAAGTCAGGCAAAACTCATAGCCTCACTGGCTCACTCACACGCCATAGAAATTAGAAAAGAAAGGAAACATCCGATTCACATAAAAGGGTTGGCTTGCACCATAAAAGTTACAACTCCTTAGGCCCCCAGGCAAAACTCTTTTATCATACAATTGGGAAAAAAAATTAAAATTTGAAGAGGAATCCCTCATCCCTTTCCCCCTCCAGCCGCGCACGGCTTGAATTTGAAATTAAAAGGGGGAGAGGGATTCCAGATCAATATTTTCGGTGCCAATAAAACCATCATTCCAAAAGACATCACAACTTCAAAAATAGGGCTCGTCTGATAACCAATTCTATTTCGTACGTTGTTCATTACATTGTTGCCATACACACTTCGAAGGAAACATTTTTCCCCACCACATTGATTGCCGTTAAATCACACTAACGACAATCAATACGCCAGGTTATGTGGTGACCGAAAAAATGCACTCCTCTTAGAATGAAGGGTCAGTTTCAGATTACAGGTCCTTGTTCATATTTGTATATAATTATACACGTTAGTACGTTACTTGTGTAATAAAAGTAGACAGTTTTTCCAATCTTCACAAATCACATAGTACCAGTGGGTTGGAAAAATTAGGTGACTAGACCTATCCATAAGTGAGTCAGAAATCAAATCCAACACGCAGATCACCAGACCACAGATGCCATGAATGCTAGGACCACATGTCAAATAGGTAATCAAAATCTATGTCTCCACCGGCCACCAGGAAGTCCAGAATAATAAATGTAAACCAAACATGAAGAAAAGAACCCACTTGCTCTATGATGCAGAATCCGAATGTTCTCATTACCATATCATAATTATATTCTCTCTCTTAACTCCTCACTAGAATAGGCCGGAATCTGAAGTCCAAGCCCAGTAATTTTGCCCTAGAGAGTTTTGAGTGCACCAGAAGTTCACAACCAAGGCCTATTTCTTGTACTGGATGGGCCAGCTACTGCTCATAGACTCATGTACATATTCATTGTTCATCAACCTTTTTATTATACAAGCAAAATTGGGTAAGGGATCCAAAATTTCGAACTCGGGTCTTTAGTTGTAGGATGAATACTCTTATCTACTTGAGCTACGAGAGCGGGTGCATCAATCATTTGCAACTCCAAATTGGTGAAACAATGGCATTCTATTAGCTACCCTCAAATTCATAACTATGAGCCTAGAAGCTAACATGGCGGCATATGGTTTTGTTACGTTAGGACACAACTCCCTCAAATTACACGACTAATGTTATCATTTTTATCAGTCAACTGTTCACCACAGAAAACGGGAAAAGAAAACCCATTAGATATATGAATAACAAACCTCTGCACAGACGTCTACCACACTATGGAGGTCATGCCCAAAAGTCTCCTTCTCCTTAACTAACCTCCTGGAAAGCTCTGCCCTGAACTTCTGAGTCTCCTGCAACAAACAAGTCGAGCTAATAACACAACATAAACATGCATTCAGATCAACTCCACAAAAAAGGCATAAATTCTCAAGCATACTTACAGATTCTGCGAACTGGGGAATTGGGTCAGGATAAACATACTTCTGGGGCGTCGCCGCCGTGGCTCTCGGCGGCTTTACGGCGGAGTTTCTGAATATGGGTTTTAGTGGCGGACGAAGAATATGAATAACGGTGGACATTGGGGTTTTGGAGGGAGGAGTAAGTGCTGGGCTCGAAACGAGAGGGCCACAGCCACAGGGTTTGTGGAGCGCCATTGTTAAGGAGTACACAACGACATTCAGAATGGCGGATATGATTCTAACGAAATCAAAACCACTGCAATATTATTTGAATTGGGCCGGTTGGCTTTGTCGTAGAATTGTAATGGGCCAGCATTTTAAGATCGCTGGCTTAGGCTTGGGTTTCAGATCTTATGGGCCTCTATGTAAGTTGAGTTATTCCTCATATTACTAATTCGTTTTATGGTGGAATCTCAGTATTAGAGTGGGTTGTCTCACGTTTGAAGCTCAATGATTACATGCACTCCATGCCATCTCATTTGTGTTGCTCAAGTGTTTGAGTTGAAAATTCGCCACATGTGAAGGGCGTGTTGAGAATGAACCTTGCATGGATTTATAAGTAAGTTAAACTACTCTCTACAGTACCAATTGATTTTATAGTAAATCTCAACTTTCTTCGTATTGAGAATAAGCCCCACTTTAATATTCCATGCTTTGTTTAGGATTACTCTATCAATGACGTAGTCCGGGCCAACTACACAAGTCTTTCCACATGACAGTAGCAAAGACGAAATTTTTTTAGGGAAATAAAACCAAAGAAAAGATGTGTTATTGTGCGTACAAAATAAGTAGTAAAGTGAGAGAAGTTTTGGATACAAAAGGAAACTCAAAAAACTTAAAATAAAATGAAAATAACAAAGTTTTTACCTTTAAAATAATAAAGTTTTGGATCCTGTATGTTATTGTACTTTGCTTAAACCACAAAAGTTCTAAATTATTAGTTTACTACCGCGTTGGGAGGAGACGGTCAAATGGGAAAAGGCAATTAACATAGAGAGAAGTGCTTCGTATTAATCCCTAATGCTCATTAAAAATTGTGCCTACAATTAAACACGTTCATCCTCAAGCAATGTGAACTTTCTTTTCAACTTAATTTGCATTAATAAATCAAACATTCTGGAGGAAGCTTTCTGCTAAACAAAAGCATCCACCCCAATTAGCGATTGTTGGTCTATGGATAAGTTCACATCCAATTCCAAATCCTATACATTATGTTTTTTTTCCCTCATTTTTTATGATTCTTTTCGAAAATCAATATTTTGATAAGGAAGAGTTGAATACAAAATTTCGAGTGAATTCTTAATAAGGTTGAGATACAAATCTTCTATCATGCTCTTGACGTTTCGCTTTAAAGATTTTTTTGTTTCTTCTTTCCGTCATGGGTTAATGAAGTGGAATGCACTAGAATCAATTGTTTATATGCATTCACCCTTTTTCTTTTTCTTTCTGTAACATATTCCCACATGCAAAGACAGAGAGGAGAACTGCCATGCCACTTAAGAAGTAGCTAGAACATGTTCATGAGGATAAAGAAACTAAAACGAAATTAAAACAGGAAATATTTGAATTCTAGTTTTAATTGTCGTTAACCATGAGGGGTATATATTTCAATTTGCACCCAAGATAAAAGGGATCTATGCCTTTACCCCTAAAAATTTTCAACGACCACAACCTTTCACAGTTGGTGTTCTACACCTAAACATAATTAGGCAATGTTCTAATCTTGTCTGTGTCCTGGTTATTCTTTTAATGCAGTCTGAGCAGAAGCTTTCGGCTAACATCCTTTTCGGCTAAGGCACACTACTTACTAAACTCAAGTCACATTTTCCATTCGTACTTGGTTAAGTATTCTTTATGCAATTTACTTGTCTAGTGATTTATTAATTAGTCTCATATGTATGATAAGTTTCTTTTGTCACACTATATATGACACGTGAAATTGTTAGATTGTTTACACACATCGTTGATTAGGGTATTGAGTGAGACGATCGTTCAATGTATTTTTATGCAATCTACTTGTCTAGTGATTTGTTAATTAGTAAGTTCATTTTGGCACATAATATATATGACACGTTAGAATGTTAACATGCATCGTTGATTAGGGTTTTGACACAACCATGGCTCAACAAATCTTTTGTGCAATCTACTTGTCTAGTGAGTTGTTTAGCCTCATATGTGCGATAACTTTCTTTTATCACTTAGTACGACACTTTAAATTGTCATACTGTTAACATGCATTGTTGATAAGGTTTTGAGACAATCATGCCTCAGTACATGCTCGTTAATTTCAACTATAGCAAAAGACATTTTGTTTGCTTTTGATCAAATTATGACAAGAAAACAAAAATGTGTTCTGTTATGTGTACATATATAATTAATAAGATGCATATACATGATATGATCTAAACGAAGAGATGATGGCTGTTTAATGTATATTGATGATTAAACAGACGACCCTTTTGTCTCCACTCTTGAAAATGGAGGTCCAGCTCCAGGCACTATCAAAAAAGCAAAAGAAAGAAGAAAAATATCAGACACACACGCTCCCTCGATAATAGCCAACCGGCCATCGTACATCAGCTCCTACCCCTTTCAACTTCTTTTCGTGGCATCCAAAGAGTCCTCTCCAATTTTGATTTGATCAAGTTGTAAAAATAAAGCCAAACACATGCACTAGGCCTCCCCATACAGATACCACTTTTACATATATCTGCATGTCATCTGTTCGATTGAGCTGGAAGATCATTTTGAAGAGACACAACATGAATTTTACAGGTGTTGGAGGGGTCTTCGATCAAATTTTCTTGAAAAATTGGCTTAGATTACCAAAATCAAATTTCAATTTTGACCAATGACATATTGATGACTTATCGATCAAATATCGATAACATACTGATATACTAAAAAACTTATCATTTCAGCAATTTTGTCTGATTTCCCAATTTTCTATTTTAATTTGAACAATCTTTTCTT